ATGGTATCACTGACAGGCTCTATTACAGGTTGCCTTCTAGCTAGCGATACTTTAATTGGATGGAAGAGACCATGCTTCCATCCATCTCACTAATCGCTCTCTCAGCTGCTTCAGTTTTTTCAAAGGTAATGAAACCATGGCTATAAGAAATAATTATTAATGAACACATCAACAATATCTATTAAAATTTTAAGTATGTATTATTGTAAGCTCATGAGAGAAAACAAGAGAAAAATACATATTTACTTTTTCTCTACTTCCATAGAAATATTGACAATATTTCCAAAACTCTGAAAGTGCTTCTTTAGATAATCTTCCGTTATTTTGTAGCCACATACAAATATTGTATTACCCGCACGTGGTTTAACTTCCTGTTTAGTAGTGGATTGAGTATCTCCGGTATTTCTTTCCCCAGTTTCTTGAGCACCAACAAAATTGTTATATAAATCCTTTCCCCTCGATCTTGCTGCTTCCGTTTCTTCTTCTTCTTGTGATGCAGAAAATGGTTGATAAGAACTGATTGTCTTTTCTGTACTATTTAATTTCCTTTCTAGCCCACGAGATCTCTTAAAGGTTTGCTCTGGTCGCTTAGGAGTCTTTGGAGGTGTGATTACACCAGACTTGATCAATTTCTTGGCTACTTCACGAGCATCTCTTGCTTCTGTAGGCCGTTTTGGCGCTTGAGGAATGCGTTCCGCTTCCTGTTTAGGAGCTTTCAGATCTTGTAACGCTTTTTTCTGTAAAACAATAACTTTTTACGATAACTTGATTATCAAAGATAAAGGTAACTACTCAGATAGCTAAATAAAAGATAGTTAAAAAGCACCGAAAGATATTGATAGATATTACATTGACTTTAGATTGACGGAGTAAACATCGTCGATATGCCATCCTTCGGCATCATTTAACTATTTGAATATGTAATAAAAAAAACATGATTATAATTGCTCAAGAAAACAGATTATCTTCGCTTATAGATCAAGCAAAAAGAAGAGTGTTAAAAAAGGATTAATTTGGGTTTATGTTACGAATTAACCGAAGAATAGGTATACACGTAGTGCAAAACATAACCTTATCATGTACCTTTCTCTTGAGTTTGCTGAATTTGGTTTGCAGCATCAACTCTTCCTCGGTTAGATTTGACGGAAAGTGCAGATAAACCATATTTTGCATGTAATATTAACAACGATGGAATTTCTCTACGTCTGTCTTGACACAGAAACTGTATGTTTAACTTTCTAAATAACTTTCAAAAGAGCTTTTCTGGGAAAAGTGGAAAAAAATAAGAAAAACCGGGAAGAGACTCCCGTATGCGCAACACATCTATTTCTTGTTCGTACTCCTAGTACTTTTTGCACTTAAAGCGAGATGGACACATATGCGGGCGTTGGAGAGAAAAGAACGGAAAACGCTGACGCACGTATCTCCGATCATGCGCTCTTTACGTATGGGACCGAGGGTTTCCTGTCAGCGTCTGACACTGACATCACTCAGTGAGTCCTTGAATGAGTTTCCCGGGCTTACCGGATCGCACCGGATGCTCTTCGAGAGGCCGTCCTCTCGAGAGAGAGAAAGAAGAGAGGAAAAGATAAGGGACACTCGTCGAAATTCGACGCGAATCGACGAGTGAATCTTTATACGTCGCCGTACGAAGTTTCTGGGTACCTGGACAAGATGTGCGCGTCGATGACGTTCGGTCGACGAGGGTTCACTCCCAGGGATGTCGCGTGGTTCAACATCAAGCGATCGCGGTGCTCCAACCGCGACGAGTCATCGATGAGCAATGTTCTCTCCCGACGATGTACTGCCTCATACACCATTAATGTCTCGCGAGTCCTGGGTCGGTTTTTCTACGAGAACACCAGGATATTCTCGACCACTAGGACCCCGATCTCTTCCGATTCCGTCATTGATGCTCTGACAAAGCAACAGGCGATGGAATTGGTTTCGAAACTTTCCTCGGAGGAACGTGGCTTATTTTTGACGGCCCTAAATGAATACAAATCCAAGGAAGATAAGGCGGGCTATGAAGGTATGAGATATTGTTTCAATTGTATTAGATCTGTTTTTTTTAAAATTGAATTAGTACACGATAGAAAAAATATAGATTTTTTTATATATAGTCCGATACTTAAGTTATAAATTACTTTTATGTATAATTGAATAATTTGATAAATATATTGTAAATAAATATATAATAAAATTCTTGTTTTTTTTTTGTTAGGTCAATTGGCAGCTATTCGATGGAGAAGCAAGTTTGGCAGGCCTAGCAAAATACCATCATTAGGAGAGGTAGATCCTACAGGAACCTACTGTCCGATGCCGGATGATTGGTTAAATCGCAAGTATGGTAAGGACGTTGCTACTTTTATTATTTAAATCATATATGTCATGTATTTGTTGGATCATGGACACAGTCAAAGAAAGAAGCGAGATTCCAATTTTTTTGATGCAATGTAACATTTTGTTACATTTACGAGATATTTATGAACATTAACTTAGATTTATTACCTATAGATCTTGCAAAATAAAATTAACCTTCCTCAACTGTTATTTAATGGTATCTTTGGATATAATGGAATCTTTTTCCTGCAATGCAATCTCCATGGATGTTATTCTGTAAGTTTCTCATTCTTTCTGTAGATTTCTCTAGATTTCTTTCTCACTGTCTGTTTCACTCTTTTTTCTCGCTAATTACACTAACTCTTTTGCCTGCTTCTATTCTGACACAACTTTTTGGATGTTTGGTCAACCACAGTGCCACAGTTAGGTAATACTTTGGACACTTCTCATTTTTACAATTTGTTGGTATGGTATTTTCATTTTTGAAAATCTTTCCTCACCATAAAAATCAATTTTTATTAACTTCTTTCTTATCAAATATTGTTAAATTATAAAATTATCTTCTTATCTTTTTGCAATATTTTTTCTGTTAATTTTATTTTGGAAATAGATTCCAGTCAGACTTTAAAGTTATCTTAAATTTTGCAAAATTTTCCTTCCATTATAAAATGATTATTTTTGTGAGAATTTGTTATGTGAATTTATTCTTTAGCAGAGCCATTTGTTTTTTTCTCTAATAAATTTTTCCTTTGCTTAAATTTCCTTCTTTTTTTAATCCACATTCATTAAAAAATACATGATTTTAAATACAGCCTATGAATAAGATAAATAGAAACATTTTGTCTATCATTTAGTGCTTGCTACTTTCATTACATAGCAAATTCTAATTAAACAAGATTAATTTATAGATTTACATCGAATCTTTTGTTATTGCAGTTGAAAACGTTGCAGAACCAACCACGAAAGACCTGGTATTAGGTACGTATCATTCTCTGTATCATTGTTGTCTGTATATTCGCAAGCAAGCAATCGATCATTTCCATTTTCATTTCTTATTTGCTTGCTTGCGAGACTTAAATATGTCCTATACTAAAAAAACTGTCATTGCACATATTTTACTTTAACAAAGTTCAAAACAGACGAAATACATAAAAGTTTTATACGTAATAATTTGAATCTCATAGAATTCTGATTAAAAATGCGAATGAATAATCTGGAACGATCATTGTATTTTTGCAGTCGCGATCGCGAATGCAATTCCGTTCGTCGGATTTGGTTTTCTTGACAACTTCATCATGATCGTTGCTGTACGTATCTTACGGGCTTCCATTGTTCAGTATGTGCCGACTTTTAAGATTGATGTTTCAGGGCGATCAAATCGAGTTGATGTTGAACAGAAGGTTTCCGATTTCGACCATGGCGGCGGCAGCGCTGGGTAACACGGTGTCCGATGTCATCGGGATTGGTTCGGTGCATTACGTTGAGATGTTCGCCCAGAAAGTTGGCTTTGAAGCGCCTAAGTTGACTCTAGGACAACTGAATCTACCAAGAACACGGATAGCTGCGAATGTGGTATGCGATATTCATTATATTTTATTCTACTAATAGCATGTTTTTTTCCTTTATTCTTAAGTATTACGAAATTTATGTAGAAAATTTTAAGATAATTAAAGATTACTATAAGATTTTGTTCAATAAAATTATTCAAGATTGTTTTTCCATTCAAAGGGTAGGGTCATTGGCGTTACGATTGGATGCTTGATTGGTATGACGCCTATACCATTAGCTACGCTTTTCCGTAATGATAGCTGAATTGTGTAAAAATTGGTTGTGAAGCGGATTAATTTAATTAACTTATAGGACAAACACTCTATAATAAGCCGCAAACACCCCGTGATAAGTTTACAAATACCTATGAACTTTAATAATTTTAATGTTAGCAAATAATATGATTTCTGTTTGAGTGCAAAGTATATTTAATATTTATTATATATATTTAATATATAAATAATTTATATATTATTATTTATATATATATATATATATATATACACACACACACACATATATAATAATGTATAGACTGTATAATATGTAGAATTGTATAGAACAAAGTTTATGTATAATGTTATAATCTTGAATAGCTGAAACAGGTTTCTAACTTACTGTTTTTTGAAGCTTTAATCTGACATGGTTTTAAATTTAATGTAAAAGCTATTAAAAAAGAAGTTCGTATGGCTTCAAATTAAAATATAAAAAATTGTTTTAATATCAGTCTTTAAAGAAAAAATTCATTATTCATTATCCGTATTAATAAAATCATTTTTAGATATAAAACAACATTTTTAGCATGAGGCATCGAATATTTATTGAAAAAAAAAACTGTTAGTATCGAACGTTACATTGCAAAAAGTTAGTACAAAAAATATAGATTATTTATGTATATATATATATCTTTTGAAAAAAAGGCTGTTTAATACGCAAGCTTTTGTCAGCGAGCTAATAGTAAATCTTTAATTCTGGCGACTGAAAGACACTTTTGTGCTGTAACTGGTGCGATAATCTCCAGTCTTGTTCCAGCCAGTTTAAAATCATATCCAGTATTTCTTTCCAATTTACATTGCGGCGATAGTCTTCAGGTGCGAAAGCCTTTGTTTTCCCTATATTCTCTATTTTTCTTATCTTCATAGCTTGCGTTGAATTGGGCGAAAAATCGACATTCACACACAATCTATTAGCAGAATTCGCAACTTTGATGTCACTCTCTAAATTACAATACTCGGGTAGCCAAGTCATCGTTGAGTTCAGCCACCATTTCCAACTAGCTATGTCGTCGTCATCAGTTTCCACAATTGTGGAAAAATCTACAACATTCTCGGAATCGGAAATCGGAAGACCATCATCGTCAACTTCCTGGGATTGCACGTTTATCAATGCATCGGTTAATTCGATCGATGTAAGATTTGTCGATAGAATCGTCGATTGCCTCGGGCTAAGCAATGTTCCAGGTAAACAACATTGTGCGATAAAGTGGGCAACTATTGTGGATCCCACGAGAGTCGCTAATCCGGCAGCGTAAGTCGCCAGACAAATCGAAGAGACGCTAATTAGGGTTTGTGCAATCGTGATCAATTGGACGGAGTTCATTAGATAACTCAATTCTGTATATGTGCACCATCTTCGTTTCTGTATTTCTCGATATGCAACATCTTTCTCTAGTTGCTGTAGCCTTTTCCAAAAATCTTGATGCTGCACTAATATCATCCAATCCTATGGCATAAAAAATAATAAAGCATCTCTTAATAAAAAATAAAAAGTAACCAACTGTTAATTAAAATTATATATTATATAAGTTTTACAAATAGAGTAATGTAAGAAATATTGCTTACGATTGCAGCAAGAAAATCTTTTTCTAATTTATTCATTCGAGATATAGTCATTTGTCCTGAATTTGCCCATTCCTTATTGAAAACTTCATCTTCCTCGCCGTCATCATGCAGAAATTTACTGGCTACCATCTGATAATCATTAATAAAATCCATTTAAACAAAGTTAAATATATTATAATTATCATAATGCATATGTATCAAAAACAATGAATTACCAGAGAAACCAAGAAAACAATGAATTACCAGAGAAACCAAGAAAACAATGAATTACCAGAGAAACCAAGAATAATTCAGACGGCGCTATTTGATGAAGATATTCCGGATTATAGTTCTTTAGTCTCTCAATATATAGCAATGCTAATACGAGTGAACAAGGAGAAACACATGCATTTCTAGATATCCTACTCGCTTCTTCTACATCAAGTTTTTCCAATGTATGACCTTTCTTTACTTCTGTAAAAAGCTCGGCTGCCAATTCTGTGAATATAAAAATTAATTTATGATTTTTATGTTTTAAACAAGATATTTAAATTGCAAGCAATATTTGGACATTATAATTAAATAAATCTAAAAACAAATATTTAAAATTTATGTTTTTCAAAATTGAAATTTTTCAAATTTTTTTCTAACAAAGATTTTGTATTTCATATATAAAGAATAAGAAAAAAATGATTTAACAAATATATAGATATATGTTTTACACTATAGAATTTTTTATTAAATATTATGTTAAAATGTTATACTGTTAAAATGTTATACTCTCTAAATTATTTTGATTTACTAAACCAATATCTATCGTAAATAATTCTTTATTAATATAGGGAATAATTTAAATTAATAGATAAACTTTATTAAGGGATTCTATGTTCATTCACAATTTAATATACAGACCTGTAACCGGTAAACTCAAACAATTAATAACTGGTGACTTGGAATAATATAATGACTTTCTTATACGTTTCATAAATTCATTATGTTCCAGGCTCTGTAACAAAACACAAAAAATTGTGATTTGAATTGAAATACTATAAAAAAAAAGTAGGATAATTCTCAAGTTTTTAAAAATGCTCTTAAAATCCGCTCAATTTTAATAAATTATTTTTGATAATAAATAATTGTGTCAACACGTGGCACATTTATGTCGTATATAGAAATATTCATATTTAAAATCTACCTTCGAATTCGCTGGCATATTTGTGTCTCGCCAGCCGTTCGCCATTGTCGGATATCCGCAAGTTTCACCATAAACTCTTTCTATAATGTTCTTATCGCGATGAGAGCAAAAAGAAAGATTAAAATGTAATTCAGGAGATCACCTTGTCGACGAGCCTTAAGCCTTGCAAAGTTCTGCAAGAATGCACAATAATTTAGATCACAGATTTAGGTTAAAATCGTCTCTATGAACATATGAAATAAAGAGTGGGATATAATGGAGGATTCACATCGCATCCGAATCATAGTTGAAGAATAGGAGAATAATCGATTATGATTGGTCAATTTCTTATGGCTTAAGGCTGAAATCACCTATTGTGGATCGGGACTTCGGGTACTTTATGTGTCCATCTATACATTTTTACACCATGCAGTTAATAAACGCGCATGTTTTGATTAATTTGGTATTATGCACCGTATTAGAAATCTTGGATATCAATTTTTTCTCTTTTCCTTCTATTTATAATGACAGTCAGTGAGTTTACATTTTGAAAGCCTACATTTGCCGAGTATGTCGAATTTCATATAAAGCTATCGTATTAACATAAAATAGATTAATGTTAAAAAGTAGTCCTTCTCGGACTGTTAAGTGGATGGGATGTCTTTTGTCACCACAAAAATTTTTGTATTGCATTTGTTAAGATAAAGAAAAGTGAAACCTGCCAAGGCAAGAGAAAGGGGAGAAAGAGGACCTGGATTATATAATTAGAAATTAATATAAAATAACAGGAAAAAGAGGATCTGTGCTATAACCTATTGGAAGTTGAAGGCACTACAAAGGGGCGACGTGTGGCTCAATGCTTAACGCATTTGATTCATAATCGAAGGATAGCAGGTTTAAACCTGGCCCCATATATTTGTGGCGGCTTGGCGTTGGAGGAGCGTTGTCCACGATATGATGTAGAATTTTTGGTGACGGAAAAAAGATGTTGGCCGCAGTGGGTTTCGAACCTGTGGTCCTCAGGTGTATGAGTCTCGAGCGCTACCACTGCGCTGTGCGGGCCACGGTACTTTTTCGTGTATGTTTCTAGGTATTAGTTATGTGAGCGGGGGACCGCCACATATTGTTTCACAAATTTTTGAGAATTTCTTGTGGAAACTTATACACGAATTAAGAGACAAAACCTCATGCTTAAGTGGATTAAAGAGTTAAAAGCAATTTAATAGAAAGAAAAACGAGATAAGGGAAGATAGAGGATCTGTGCTGTAGCTTAAGAGAGGTTGAAAGCACTTTCGTAATTGGTGTTCTTGCCCGAGAACTCCAATTAAAAAAAAAAGGGAGGGAGGGCACTATAGACTTCCTACCCAGCATAAAAAAAATAAATAAGTCACATATTTGAAATATGAAGGCTGAAGATACTATATAACAATGTAAGAAAAGAATCTTGGAATTTTTTATTGTGCAAAGTGTTCAAAAAATAACTATTTATTGTTTAGATATATTGCTTCTAATCTTATCAATAAAATATGGCTTATCCATCATGCAATTTAGTGGAGTCAATCATCGACGAGGTTGCTTTGGAAGGATTGGATGGCATCACTTTACAAGGTTATTATTTAATTCATTGTTATGTTGTAATTGTAATATTATATATGAAACATCACATAGATTACCACAATATAATTTTCATTTTTTAACTATAAATTTGTTATAT